CGGCCGGGCTCCCCCAGCTCCGCGCCGCCGCCGCCGCCGCCGCCCGGGCCCGAGCGCCGCCGCCGCGCTCCCGCCGCTCCGGGCCCTTCGGCCTCTGGCGCCAGACTGAGGCAGCCGAGCCCCGAGCCGGCCAGGCGGGCCGAGCGCCGAGCCCGACCACGTGACCGCGGGCGCCAGGCGGAAGGGGGCGGGCGGCGCCGAGCGAAGCGGAGCGGGCAGGAGGGGCGCGGGGCTGCGGGGCTCCTGAAGGCGGGCAGGGTCGCTCCGGGCCGACTTACTTCAGCCCCCCCGGGTCAATACAATACCACAGCAAAGACTTTTCGGTTTCTCTCCAGAGTTTATTTTAAAATAAAGCTTACAAACGCAGCAGCGGAGCCTCAAAAACCTTCGTGTAATGTTGCAGCACGAAGCACAGAGGCTAGTATGTGACAGCCTGAAAGAAACAACACTTCAAAATGCAACGCGGTGCTTCATAGCAGGCGGGCAGAAAGGCAGAGGGGCCGTGAGCAGCCCGAAGGTCACCATCTGACTCCATCCCGGGCTTCCTGAGGCCAAGGAGAGCCCAGTCCTGTAAGCTGAGCCCAATAAGCAGACATCCCCTGGATAGGACGTAGAGATCCGTGCCCGAAGCAGTTAATGCTGCAATGGCAACAAAACACACACACAGCCCTGAAGATCACAGCACACCTCGTGAGGCTGTGACAGCCCTCAGTTGTTGGACCAAATGCCTTGAGTTGTGGCACTGAGGTCACAGGGCCTTTCCCAACCAATGTTCATCTTTTAAAAGTACCAAATAGCACATAAGAAGTAAGGACTGTAACTCCGCTGACACTTCTGAGAGCCTGAGAGCTCTGGAAGGACCATAAAGCCAGTGGTCTTCCAGCAAGGAAAGCACTCCTGGGGTCCTTCGAGATGAGGGCTGCACACCTGTATGACAGCCCCATCAGTTACAGCCTCTGCTCACTGCCAGTTCTACGCCCAACGAAGGTGGGACGAGTTGTGCTGCTACACACTTTGATTTACAAAAGCACACAGCCTTCATCTTTGCTCTCACTATTACACAAATTTTCTAAACGATCCCCAGAACCACTGAAGAGAAGGAAAGTTGGGGGTCTGTAAGTGTCTTTGCCTTGCAGAAACCAAAGTGTAAACTTTTTCCATGAGACAGCCCTGGGCAACTCTACTTGCAGCCACGATTTGGGTCAATATGCAACATCACAGCAGGCAAGCCAAGACCACAAGCAGCAAGAAAGCCTGAAGGAGACAGCCTTGCTCTTGTTTGTTTGTTTGTTTGTTTTTTAATAAAACTACAAGCTGTGTGGGGGGGGCATCTGGAAAACAAGCACAGGGCCAGCTGTGCACAGTGCTGCATGCCTGTCAAGAGCACGCATGCAAAATTAGAATATGCTCCTTATCTTCCCAGGCACCTGCTCGCAGTGCTGGGCTCTCCCAAGTGAAGTTCCTCCCAAACAAGTTACTGCACACTCTTGGCTGCTTGTGCTGAGGCAGCGCTTGGCCAAGTGCAAACTGACAGTGGGGAAAACGTAGGCACTGCAGCAACCTCAGCAAGAGAGCAAAAATGGTGCAGAAGGAATTGTAAATGCAAGTTACAAAATGTTACAAAAATGAAGTTACAAAATTCTTCAAATTACTTTGTCCAGTAAAGATTTCCCTGATGTCATTCTTATCTAGAAAAACAACCACAAGGACTTTTCTGCAAAAACCTAAAGAAGCTCCAAAGAAGAGAAGTTGTAAGTGCTTCAGCCTTGTAGCATGGGAAGCAGAGTTAGGAACACTACTTTGGGGTGCCTCCTACAGCCCCACTTCATACACCTGTTTGCTGTGGAACACAGGAGATAGGTACATTTTACCTCTGTATCTTGCAGTAACTTACAGAATCCATTTCCTTCTCTCCATAACACAGAGTCCCCCTTCAAGGATTTCTGCTGAGTTAGACCTCAATAAACTGTTTCATAGTATTGCAATTTGTCTTGCACATGCAACTGTGTGGAGTAGCTCAGCAGGGCAGAGCTGCTCCCAGAACCATAAGCCTGCCCTGCCCTTGTGACACACCAGTGTTTGATCACAGCTTGTTAAAACGCTGCTGAAACCTTGCCAAAAGGAACTCAGCTCTGCTTCTAGCTCCTCTATAGTCTGTTTCATCCCACTGGGGCTTGGTTCTCAACTGTGGAACAAGAGATAAACAGCTCAAACATGCTCTGTGAGTATGGATTTGGGAGGGCTTTGGTCTGAACACCACTTTCCTGCAGGGATGACTGTGAGACACAGCCCTGGACACTCCATAGCCAAGCTAAGACTTGGCTACAGCTTCTCACTGTCATGTTGCAAGCAGAACACCTGTGGTAGCAGTGTTGACACAGCTCTGTGCAGCTGAGCTAGCAGCAGCACGTTCAGAGCCTGGTGTGCATGAGACACTCCAGCTCTTAGATGCACTAAGGCTCCAGTAACAGAAGCCAATTTAAACTACTGGAATGCTCAGACATGGTGAGCAGAACCCCAGCCTCTGAAGCCTTTGCTGTTTTCTCTCCTTTCTGAAGAACAGTTGCTCCTCCAAAGAACTAACATGACAACTCCATTTCGCTCAGCTTCACCTGGAGATTTTCTACTCCACTTAGGACTGATAACAGAGAAAAAAAACTTACATATCCCATGAGCAGCAAAATGTGTGAGACAGACTGTGAGACACTAAATGGAGCAGAATGGACTCAGAATGCAAGCATCAGTTCAGAGCAGTGGAGATGCTGCAAGCTGAAAGCAGAGCAGTGGAATCTGGGAGTGCAGGCAGTGTTTCACTCACCTGCCTGTCAAGTGAGTCACTTACATTTCAACAGCACCGAAGTACAGCCTGCATCTCCAAGGCACCCAGTAACAAACTACTGCAAACACAGGGCCATTACTTCCCTGGCAGCCTCAGATGTTATAAAAGAAGCAGGTGCTTCCATTCATGCTGACCTGACAAAGCTCTGTAGTTTAATTTTCACAAGGAAAACAGGGCTTACAGACCACAGCCAGATGCTTGAGCTGCCCTCGCCACTGCTTTACAAGTGCACTTCTAAAGTAAAATGCAGAAAGTTACTCCATTATTTCCAGTGTCCCATTAGCAGCTGGCAGGCAGAGTCTATAGGCAGCCCCATGAGAGGTGCTGCTTATGTGGCCACGTTCCAAGCCTGTGCTTCCCCAGGTCCTGCTGTGAGTGAGGACTTGTGTTTGCAGAGCAGCATCCCAAGCACACCCACTGCAGCTGTCAGTATGACTACTGCTCAAGACAGCCTTGTTTTTAAACAGCTACAGGTGCTGCATCTACAGGTAGCTTTGCTTTTCACAAGCTCAAACTTCACTTGAAGAGTAAACATGTCTTTGTCTGACTTGATTTGGGGAATTCCATCTATCCAGCTGACTGGTCTTGGAGAACTTTACACGTCTCTACATTCAGAAGACTCCGATCCTGATTAAATCATTTGAAACATTTTGTGTTTAAAATAACAAGGTTAGAAAAAGCTGAACAATAAGTTGGCCTGTTGCTCCCAGAAAAGTACTTAGAGGCCATTTCTACTTCGCTGTCACCATCACCACACAGGGAAATAGTCTGTAAAATGTTGCTAACGCAGTTTTGCAAGGATAACCAGAATTTTCAGACTTCACAGAAAATACTCACAGCACTGCCATGTTACTGACACTCCTGACTCCATACAGTTCACCTGGAGCAGGAAACACCTGACCTCTAAGCTAATGGAGCACGCTTTTTGCCATTTAGCCACAGCATTCTTTCCAAATAATGCAGCCACGACTTGGCTGGCACTTTACACCAGCAAGCAGATGTTTCATTGTCCTCCATCCAATTTACCACTGACTGATAAGAACAAGCACTGAATCCAGCAGAACACTGATAGCTACCTGAAGCACTTGGCCATCAAGAGCTGTCAGCATGCAGACTGAAGAGGATACTGCAATCCATTCCAGGGAGTCAAGACCTCACACAAATCCTATCTTTTCCAGACACTGACCTGAAAAAGGCATTTACAATTAATATGAAAGTAGTGCTTTTGGGTGAGAAGAACCTTATCCAGCTGCACTTGGCAGGATTCAAAAGCAGCGCTGCCTGGAGGTATTTCAGCAATAAGAAAGGCACTTCATCTTCTACATTTCTTTAAGCACCAGTTTGTAACATAGCCTAATAAATATTTGTAATACATCTTACAGTGAAGTCCTTATAAACACTTGTTAATGAGGCAGCACAGATGTGTGGAATAAGACCTGCAGGACTCCGATTCCCCTGCGTTGCTTCTTTCATCACATGCAGGCCCATTAGTTAGGCTGCAGGCAGCTCATGCCCTCTGCTGCTCAACCTGAACCAACCCAGCAGTTGCTTTGGCCACAACAGACACATATATCTCTGCAATAGAGATTAAAGGTTCAGATGCAGAGGGACTACATTGCTTGAATACAGAATGGGGACCCAACAGATGCAGACAAAGATATAAAAATAAATAAACGAAAAATCTGATATCTACTAACTAGTTTTAGATTCTCTTTTTCCTCTAATAAAAGGAAACAAAAGCAATTTCTCATAGCTGAGCTTCTCTCTTGTGATGAGAAACTTGAACACAAGGAACAGGATGCAGTTTTAAGACTTTCAGAATCATTATTATCAACTGTATTTGCCCTGACAGACAAGCAATTTTCAGGACACTTCCCACCTACTAAATAAATCTTCTACTGCCTTGTAAAAGGAAATCTGCTTTAAGGCATTTAAAGGAGTGAGTAAATATTCCTTTGGAAGTTCACTTGGAAAGTCCTCATCAGAAAGAAGCAACTGCCCAGCAGTGCCAGCTGCCATTGCACCCCCTGGCTGTTCTCTACTCGGCTCTTCCTCCTCACAGTCATAAAAACAAATATGTTCAAGGGAGCAGAAAGCTGACTCATGGGAGTTCTGCTGAGGAGCCATAAGAGCCCTGAGCCCGTCAGATTGCTCAGTATGTTCCTCTAGGGACTCATAAACAACTCCTTTGGGCACAGAGTGCTGGGCAGCTCTTTTCACAAGACACACAGGTTTCTGCTTCTTTGTTTTGCTCTGCTGCTGTACAGACACCTGCAGAGGCTTCGGAATTCCAAGGCCAGGAGGTGCCTGGTGGTCAGGACTCAGGTATTTCTGAAAGGAAGCGTGGCACGTGCTGTCTTTCACAATCGGGATGACCGAGCAGGGTTTCAACCACCTCACAAACTCACACAACTCTGAAAAGGATGAATGATCCGAGTACGGGATGAGGTGGATCTTGGGGTGGGTGACCTTCACGGGCCTGCCCGTGGGGAGGATGGCAATGGTCGGATGCCGCACGTTCCAGCTCACAAGGGTGTCCCAGCGGATCTCAGCGACGTCCACCGCATGGATCCTGCCAGCCCCCTCCTCCGTCGTGAACACCTCAGGCAGCTCCAGCAGCCGCATCTGCTCCAGGCGTGAGGGGCTCACCACGACCCACGTGCTGAACTCCAGCGCCAGGTCCACCAGCAGCTCCTCCTTCCCCAGGCTGTACACACCTGCAGGAGAGCCGTCAAAGAATCATAGAATCACTCAGGTTGGAAAAGACCTTAAAGATCATTGAATCCAATCATGACCTAACCATACTACCCTAATTAACAAACCTCTGCTAAATCACATCCCTGAGCACCGCATACAAATGTTTTTTAAACACATCCGGGATGGTGACTCAGCCACCTCCCTGGGCAGCCTATTGCAGTGCTTAACAACCCTTTCTGCAAAGAAGTTTTTCCTGATATCCAACCTAAACCTCCCCTGGTGCAACCTGAGGCCATTTCCCCTCGTCCTGTCACCAGTGAGACCAACCCTTCTTGCTGTAAGCACTTTTCAGATATTGGAAGAGAGCAATAATGTCTCCCCCCTCAGCCTCCTCTTCCCCAGACCAAACAGCCCCAGCTCCTTCAGTCTCTCCTCACAGGCCACATTCTCCAAGCCCTCCCGCAGCCTCGCTGCCCTTCTTTGGCCCTGCTCCAGCACCTCCATGTCCTTTCTGTACTGAGGTGCCCAAAACTGAACACAGCACTTGAGGTGAGGCCTCACCAGCGCTAAGTACAGGGCAGGATGACTTCCCTGGTTCTGCTCACCATAGCATTCCTGATCCAAGCCAGGATGCCATTGCCCCTCTTGGCCACCTGGGCACCCTGCTAGCTCATATTCAGCCAACAGTCCATCAAAACGCCAGGGTCCCTTTCCATCAGGCAGCCTTCCAGACAAAAACTCCTCCCCAAGCCTGTAAGCTTGCCTTGGGGTTGCTGTGACCAAAATGCAGGATCCAACACTTTGCCCCACTGAACCTCAGCACCACGGCATAGCAGGGCGGGATGCAGGAACGGCTCTGGGCTGCACTCACCGATGACGACGCGGTGCTGCGGGTGCTGGCGGATGAGCTGCGCGGCCTGGTGCACAGCCCGGCTCCTGGAGGGCAGCGCGCGCTGCGGCCGGCAGTTGGTGTTGTCCAGGTAGAGGCGGTCGATGCGGCGGCCGCTCAGCACTGGCTCGCGCTGCATGGCGCGGCTGTAGCGGAAATCCCCTGCAGAACAGGGCTGTCAGGGCGGGCGGGGCGGCGGGGCGACCGCGTTTCCCACCCCATACCTGTGTAAAGGATGGTGCCGAAGGAGCCCTCGAAGAGAAACATGACGGAGCCGGGGCAGTGGTTGGCATCGAGCAGCGTCACGGTCACCTCCTCGCCTACCACGTGGCTCTGCCCCACCTCCAGCGGGCGGATCCAGTGTGTGGGCACCTGCGGGCGGGCGGGCGTGAGGACCGGGGGGAACGGGACGGGACAGAACGGGACGGGACAGAACGGGACGTACCTTTAGGCGGTGGTGCAGCAGGCGGGCGGTGAGCGGCGAGCAGTACAGCGGGCGGCTCCAGGTGCTGGACAGCCCTACCGTGTGGTCCGAGTGCATGTGCGACAGGAAGAACAGCCGCGCGCCGCCCGCCCGCCGCACGCTCCAGAAATCCACGGCGATGGGCGTGCCGGGAATCACCGTCCCGTTCATGGCGCCGGGGCGCGGGGAGCGCGCGGACGAAGGCGGCGCCGCCGCCGCTTCCCGCCGAATTTGGCGCGCGACGCCGCGCACGCGCGGGAGCGGAGGGGAGAGAAGGGAAGGGGAGGGGCGGCGCGTGCGCGGTGGCTCGCGGAGCCGAGCGGAGCGGGGGGCCGTGCGACCATGCCGTACCTGGGAGGCGAGGAGGTGCTGCGCGATTTGCGACGCGCGCTGAGCAACCCGCACGTGCAGGCGGAGCCGCTGCGGTACCGCGCCGCCGTGCTGCGAGTCATCCGGTGCGGGGCGGAGCGGCGCGGGACGGCGGGAGGGAGGGGGTCAGCCGAGGGCCGGGGCCAGCTGACGGCCGCGCCGTGTCTGCCGCAGGCTCATGACGCAGGGCGCGGACGTGTCGGGGTTGTTTGCGGAGATGGTGAAGGCGGGCGCGGCGGCCGACGTGGTGCAGAAGAAGTTGGTGCAGCTGTACGTGTGCGCGCACGCCCCGCGCATGCCCCGCTTGGCGTTGCTGGCTGTCAACACGCTGCGACGGGACTGCGCCGATCCCAGCCCTGCCGTGCGCGGCCTGGCGCTGCGAGGACTCTGCGACCTCAGGTGGGTGCGGGGATCCGGGCTCTCCTCTGTCATCTCTACGCTTGTCCCGTATTTCCTGCCCCGGCGGCACTCAGCCCTCGCTCTGAGGAAGGGCCCTCAGTGATCCCGTGAGCGGCGTCCCCCAGGGCTCTGTCTCGGGACCGGAGCTCTTTAGCATCTTTATCAATGAGATGGATGATGGAGAGTGCGCCCTCGGCAACACCAGCCTGAGTGGTGCCGTTGACACGGTGGAAGGAAGGGATGCCATTCAGAGGGACCTCAGCAAACTCAAAAAGTGGGCCTGGGTGAATCTAATGATGTTGAATACAACAGTGTGCAAAGTTTGGCACTTGGGCCATAGGAATCCCAGGCATTTATACAGTCTGGAAGGAGTGGTCCTTGAGAGCAGCCCTGCAGAGAAGGACCTGGGGGTCCTGATGGATGAAATGCTTAACATGAGCCAGCAGTGTGTGATTACAGCTTGGAAAGCAAATAGGATCCTGGGCTCCATCAGCAGAGGGGTGGCCAGCAGGGACAGGGAGGTGATCGTCCCCCTCTGCTCTGCTCTTGTGAGGCCCCACCGGCAGTGCTGTGTCCAGGTCTGGAGCCCCCAGTACAAGAAGGACAGGGAGCTGTTGGAGAGGGTCCAGAGGAGCCACAGAGATGATCAGGGGGCTGCAGCACCTCCCCAAAAAGACAGGCTGAGGGAGCTGGGCTTGTTCAGCCTGGAGAAAAGAAGGCTGCGGGGTGACCTCATTGCAGCCTGCAGTACCTAAAGGGAGCCTACAAACAGGAGGGGAATCAACTCTTGGAAAGGGGAGATAACAGCAGGACAAGGGGAAATGGTTTGAAATTGAGGGAGGGAAGATTGAGGCTGGATGTCAGGGGGAAGTTCTTTCCTATGAGAGCGGTGAGGTGCTGGAACAGCTGCCCAGAGAGCTGTGGATGCCCCGTGCATGCCTGGAGGTGTTCAAGGCCAGGTTGGATGGGGCCCTGGGCAGCCTTGGCTGGTATGAAATGTGGAGGTTGGTGGCCCTGCGTGTGGCGGGGGGTTGGAGCTTCACGATCCTTGAGATCCCTTCCATCCTGGGCCATTCTGTGATTCTGTGTGACCCGTCCCTGCTGCCCACAGGTTGCCCGGCATGCAGGAATATGTGCAGCAGCCCCTTCTGAATGGCCTGCGGGACAGAGCCTCCTACGTGCGCAGGATTGCTGTGCTGGGCTGTGCCAAGGTGCACAGGCTGCAAGGAGACACCGAAGTGGGTGAGCTGGCAGGCACTGCACTGTCGCTGAGCATGGAGGGATGTGGCAGGTTGGTCTGGGCTGTCCTGGGCTCCCTGGGCTGCTGCAAGGTCGTGGGCAGGAGGAGGGAAACAGCCCAGGGCTGAGCATGGTGGGGAGCCGAGGGCTGGCATCATGCCGTCCCATCACACGTCCTTCCACGTGGCTGTGCCAAAGGCTGCTGTAGAGTGAGAATACTGGTGCAGCACTTCTGCTTCTTTGCAGACGGTGCATTGGTGAATGAGTTGTACAGCCTGCTTCGTGACCAGGACCCTATCGTGGTGGTGAACTGTCTGAGGGCTTTGGAAGAGATCTTGAAGAAAGAGGGAGGAGTTGTCATCAACAAACCTATTGCCCATCATCTCCTCAACAGGTTTGTCTTCTTCCATATCAGAGGTGGCACTGGAAGCCTGGTTCTGTCTGTTGCATTTCGTACAGATAGCAGTGAGTGCTTCTGGGCTCCCATCAGAACTGGAAATGTCAGACACCCTAAAGGTGAAGGTGCCCTTCCTAAAAGCAAATCAGTCGTTTTTGTGCTAAGGTCTTAAGAGAAAATCTTAGCACCCAGCTTTTCCAGAGAGTCTGCTTCAGCCGCTGCTTTGCTTGGAGTTGTAAGTTAATGCGATTATCCTTTAAAATCATGGCACTGCACGTGATGTATTTGTGGTACAAGGATGTTCTGGTTTGTTTCCCCCAATCAATTGTAAGATACGTGACATATATATCATCTGCAGATACCAACTTTTTTCCCTATGTGTAGCAAAATGATCTGGAAAAGCAAGGTGCTGCTGTGGCCAGGGATCTTGTCAGTGTTTCTCTGTCTCTCTAAGCTCTACGTCAGCAAAAGTGCATGTGATTGACACTGAGTTAAGCCTATAACATGTACATTGGTTGGTCCTTTTTAGATGGAATTGTGGTCTCACAAAAAAAACCACTGTGTTTGATGGGAGTGGAGACTGTAGCAACCTAAGAGCTGCAGCCTGCACTCTGCATAGCACAGATCCTTACGCACTCCCTGACTCCTGCAAATGGTGTTTATTTCCTTGGCAGGATGGCTGACCTGGATCAGTGGGGGCAAAGCGAGGTGCTTGCCTTCCTTCTGCGTTACAGACCCCGCACTGAGGAGGAGCTATTCAACATTCTCAATTTGCTGGATGGGTATCTGAAAAGCAGCAGCCCCAGCGTTGTGATGGCAGCCACCAAGCTCTTCCTCGTGCTGGCCAAGGAGTACCCACATGTGCAGGCAGATGTTTTGGTGAGGGTGAAGGGGCCACTGCTGGCTGCCTGCACCTCGGAGAGCAGGGAGCTGTGCTTCACTGCGCTGTGCCACGTGCGTCAGATCCTCGGGAGTCTTCCTGGCCATTTTAGCAGCCACTACAAGAAGTTCTTCTGCTCGTATTCAGAACCCCATTACATCAAATGCCAGAAGATGGAAGTGTTGTGCGAGCTGGTGAATGATGAGAATGTGCAACAAGTGCTGGAAGAGCTGAAGGGCTATTGCACTGATATATCAGTGGAGCTGGCCCAGGGGGCGATCTCTGCCATAGGTGAGAGCTCTGCCTTGCTTCAGAAGCAGCTGCAGCCCTCAGTCTTAAGGTCGGCCTTTCTCTGCTGAAGTATTTCTGCATGCATTCCAAATAACTGATCTGTGCTGAAGCCCCAGGTCAATCCTGCTCCCCAGGGATGTTTTGTGTGTGTTTATAAACCACGAGGATGCTGGTTCATCCAGCCATCCTGGTGCTGAGCTGTTTCAGGCTGCATGTAATGCCTTGAATCTTTTTCAAATGTCAACACTCTGAGGAGATGCTCCAAATAAACAAATGAATGGGAAGGTTGAATTAAATAATTTCATCTTAAATGAGCCTGATAGTGTTAAGTCTTAGTGGAACTGTAGCGGGTGGATGAGCTGCTTTAATACTTGCTTGTTGTTTGAGTTGTGGTGGAGGCAGAGTTCAGGTGATTTGGGGCAGTTAGGTTTCATTTTTTCAACCTTGAAAATGTGTAAGTTTTTATAGCATTCTTTAGGAGAAAGCCAGGGATGCTAAAATGCTTTTCTCATTGCTCTGTTAAGAAAAGTGCAGACTTTCTCAGAGGTATGGCTTCAGAAAAAGGAACGTGTGCCTTATGTGAGAATATGTGCTCACCTGACTGTCAGAAAATAGTCAAAAAAGAGAGAAAACGACTGTTTCTTTGAAATGAGTTTGTGATGAATAGTTGGGCTCGTGGTTGACTCGTATCCTTGTTGTTGTCTCTGCAGGCAGTATTGCTAGGACATACACAGAGCAGTGCGTGGGGATTCTGACAGAGCTCTTGGGGCTTCAACAGGAGCACATCACGTCAGGTAATCATCTTCGTGTTATTTGCATGGCTTAAGCTCCCAGGAAGTGGCTTTGCTGAGGCTCGTGGTCCCAAAACTTGAGGCTCTAGGAGGCACCTGACATTTAATTTACTTGGTGTCTCCAGGTAGAAGTCTCCTGGTTGTGTGGGGATGTGGAATGTGACCGGACATTGTAGGTTTTCTTCCTTGGAGATGGTGATGGCTGCGCTCCTGGTCTGATACGATATGGAGGCTCTTTTCTGGCTGCCTGTGTTGACTCCAAGGGATGAAGGCAGAGGCATTTTATTAACTCTTTGTGAAGGCCCTGATGGTTAATAGGTCTAATTTTGAGTTCTTTCTGACTGGTTCTCCTAGTTTCTGTCTTTTAAATCTTCCTGATTTCTTTTCTTCATGTAACAGTCGGATTCAACTCAACCCAGACTTCTGCCTTTTTCTTCTGCTGTCCTCAGATCTAACTTCCCTTAGCTATTTCTGCCCTCTTTGTACTGCTCTTGCTTTCAGCTTTCAAAGTCACATGCTTACAGTCAGCTCTTGAATTGGGCCTTAATAGCTGCTGGAGTTTCTGTAAGGGTGCAACAGAGCCTTTAACATTTTGGGCTAAAGTTCATGTGATGCATTTTGAATTGGTGTTAGCTTCAGTTTGTTTTTCTAACCTTGTGTGCCTGAGACATCGTGAGTCAGTCTCTAAAGGCTGGGGAATGTCCAAAAGGGAGATTACTTTCCAGAAGCAAGAGGAACAATGTGAAGTTTCAGTACTTTATTTTAGACGTGGTGTAACTGTGCTCTGACAGGGGCAGCATATTGGGATTTTGAAGGAGAG